TGTAAGCCACCTAGGCATCCTTTTAAAAGGAGAAAGGCAGGGGCAAAAAGCTTATTTAAAAATGCAACAGATAAATGACTAAATCTTGAACCTTGTGTCTTGGTTCTGCTAGAAATGCAGCAGGTTGAAAATGTAATGGAATCTAAGAAGGAAGAGGGAGGTGTGGGGAATAGTCCGAGAAAGCTTTGAGGAGGTGGTCGGAGTGGTAGAGGGGAGGTGTGGAAGGAAGTCTTGAAAGGAGGGGAAGAGGAAGGATCAGAAGGTGTGGGTGGGTGAAGGTGGCGTTGAATGCGTGCCGGGTTGCCAAAGTTTGCGGGATGAGAGTGTGGGTGGGAAGGCTTTTTTGGGGAGAGCATTGTTGTCCAAGTGCCCTGGTGTGAGAAAAAAGGGGCATGGGGTGGGTGGGTGATGAGAGATGCAAAGCCCTAGTTGACACAATGTGTGTGTGTGGAGAGGGGACGTCAACCCCCTCCTGCCACCCCCTCCTGCCAAGGGATGGGCAGAGAAATGACATCCCGGGCACAAATCTCCAGGGGCTTGGTCTCCCTTCCCTTCTTCTAAGTATATGTCGATTCTATCTTCTCCTGCTTTTAAATGCATCTTTTTAAAGGATAGAATCTTGGTCTTGCAAAGCCGAACCTACTAGAGATTTGAACTAATGCTTGTTGTGGGTTTTTTGGGCTCTTTGGCCGTGTTCTGAAGGTTGTTCCTCCTAACATTTCACCAGTCTCTGTGGCCGGCATCTTCAGAGGACAGCACTCTGTGCTCAGGTGTAGTTGGCTTGGGAGTGGAGTATTTATGGCTGTGAGATAGGCTTTTGTCTTTTTCTGTAAATGGGTGATTAGTGTGTCTTGTTGTGGGTTATTGTTGTGGTAAAGAGGAGAGATTATCTCTCACTGTGACTGATGGGTGTCATTAGCTGGTCTTTTGTGTGTAGTGATCCCCTGTCCTTGTGGCTGGGTAGAGTTCATTGAACTTTTGCACGCTGTATTTTTGAGAGCTGGGAGCAAGTTTTCTTGAGCTTCAAACTTTCCTCTTTTTTGTTGAAGTTCTGCTGGTGCTTGTGGATTTCAATGGCTTCCCTGTGCAGTCTGACGTAATGATTGCTGGT